CGTCGAAAGTGGAAGGATTCTAAGTGAGTCGCCACAAGCTCGTAACATCGTTAGCACAGAAGGCATTTCACAAGGTATGTGCAGTTTTTTCCAACCCTAAACAAAATATTTAAAGTTGTCCTGTTTTCAATCTGGAATGATATTTCTGATTCACGATTTCTGGCTTTTCTGTCAAAGCAGGCGCCTATATCCCTTGCGGGAAGCTAAAGTGAAAGATTGATTTACATCTGTACTTTGTAAGGTCCGGGATAATTTTTTATGACCCTTAAAATTGCTAAAAAATTGGAGAGTTTTGGGTCAAACTTCGCAAACATAAAAATTGGCGCGGGACATACATTAATAAGTGTTTTGCCAGATTATTGATCGGTTAATCGATATATTAATGGTTTGTCTTCTGGCATTCTTCTTGTGACTGGTGTGATATGCTAGAAAGAATTATGAGAGCTGAAACCAATCTCGCAAGCATAGACTTCAGGTTGAAGCGGATGTTAGTAAGCAATTCTCACGACATAGTGTTGGCTTGCATTATCGATTTACTGATTTTTGCATTAGCCGTCTGACAAGTCAGTATTCGGCTGAGGGGGTAGATCAGCCTTAGCCTTTTACGAACAAGTTTTTTTCATCACTTCCATTATTGCGCTTCTATCGATTTATTGATTTTTCACACTTGTACCGGTGACACAGCCGCGTGGCGGCAGTAGTGCACCTGCTTTCATGTATATCTCAAACATCCACATGTTTCACTGGGAAATTAGGCATTTTATCTTTTTTTGAATTGGCTGTTCATGGACCAAGAAATATTCCATTTAGGCGGAGTAAAGTTTTGGCGGACGGCTAGTGGCAAGCTATTGAGATTGGATCCGGCAAGTCCGCATCCACTCATTGTGCGCGATTCCATAGGCGAATTGGCCTCATCCAAACCTAGACTTGTCAGACTTGCAAATGGCAGATTGGCAAGAATTACTAAGAAGGTTAATTCGTTTTATGTTTCATGGATTTATTCATAAAAAAAGTCATGCTTTTAGAGAATACCCGCATCTCTGCTACATCAGCGTACTGCGTCGGTGGCAAATTCGAATCAGTTTCATGCGAGTATCCAGCGCTTTCCTGTCCCTTCTGCAACGGCTAGTGTTGCTGTATCAGGTATGCACTATATTGACAATGTTCATTTTTGCGCACATTTGTGTTTTCACAGACGCCATCGATGCCTCTTCATTGATGGGAAATGGTGAGGAAAGTACTGAGCTGTTTGAAGTGCAAAAGAAAGAGCCCACTCCTGCTATCAAGGCTGAACCAGTGGATGAGAAGGAGTTAGAAGAGCAACAAGAGCAACCTTCGTTGCCTCCTCCAACTGGGGAGGCTTTAAATACATTGCGACCATCTCTCGCGTCAGCTTTGAGTGACGTGAACACAGCTCCAACCAATGTGGTATGTTATTTGTATGCTGTCTGAAGTACTATGGTTACCAGATCCTCTACAAGATTGTTGAAGTATTGAAAAGTGAAGTGAAATTCATGGAAAAGTAGTCTAGGAGGA